CCTCATTTCACGAGGAATAACGGTAGTTCGAACTAGGAAGCCTAGTTCGAACTACCTAGTTCGTGCCGCGTGTAGCCACACGGCACGGGATTCGAACCAGCGGGGTTTTAAAAATGGCGGCTCCCCGCTTATGCAAATGAAGCCCGGGAAATTCAAATCATTTGCAAGTGCGGTATGCCTACATTACCCCGCTAGTTTGAACTAGGAGGGTAGTGTAGACATACCCTTTGTGTTTAACATAGTATTCTATTTAAAAATGAAGCCTGGCCAACAAACCCCCAATTGGGGCCAAGACCCCATCTGGCCACAACCACTCCTGCATTCCCCCTTCCCCAGACCCTAGATCTGAGCCTATCAAACACTGGAACCTCATGCCCTCAGACCGGTTACTCGATAGGGGAAGGCAGCCGTGCTCAGGATCAAACCCCACTGCAGCTCTGCAATTTAAAAAGTGGTAAGATCCAGGCAGCCTGCCCCCTGGCTCTGACTGCATTTTAAATTGCAGAGCCACAGTGGGGTTTGGCCCACCCCCCATGGGGGTGTATACCTCCCCCGAATGTCCCCAACACCCCCCCAGTTTTATGAACTATGGTGCCATACAGTCCACCTTCACCCTCACGGTCTCACCCCTCATTGGTCCTGACATCCCCCCCTTGTAAATTCGAACACCCTCCTCCCCTAATTTCAATTCCTGGGGAGGCTACTGCTCCCGACCTGGCACAAGCAGGGACTGAGCTGAGCTGCCTGCTCGCCCGGCTCCTAAATTTAGTAGGCGAGTTTTATGAACTATGGTGCCATACAGTCCACCTTCACCCTCACGGTCTCACCCCTCATTGGTCCTGACATCCCCCCCTTGTAAATTCGAACACCCTCCTCCCCTAATTTCAATTCCTGGGGAGGCTACTGCTCCCGACCTGGCACAAGCAGGGACTGAGCTGAGCTGCCTGCTCGCCCGGCTCCTAAATTTAGTAGGCGCTGGGAGGGGAGGGCAGGCTGCCTGGCTCCTATTGCCTTTTAAATTGCTGAGCCACAGTGAGATTTGGTCCCAGCGCGAGCTGGGACTGAGCAGGGCTGCCTGCCCAGCCTGTAGCAATCCCCCATCCGCTGGGGGTCCCAGCTCTCTGCTGGGACCCCTGCAGACAGGGGTTGCTTCAAGGCAGGCACCTCTGTTCACTGGGGGTCCCAACTTCTTTCTGGGACCCCCCCTGCAGCCAGGACTGGGACCCCCACTGCAGCCGGAGCAACTTCCCCAACCCCCCCTTACTGCCTCTGCTAGAGGCAGCGGGATGGGGAGTGGAGACAATGCTGGGGAAACTGGCTTTTAAGCTGGCTCCTCCCAGCACCAGCTCCTGCTTCTCCCCCATGTTGCCTTTGATATAGAGGCATCAAGGTGGAGGCAGGGGGAGAATGCGGATAGTTGATTGGACTACCGGATAAGCTTAAGCTTTTCGGGTAGTCAACTACTCTCTGAGGGGATGTCTACACTGCCACCCTAGTTCGAACTAGGGTGGCTAATGCAGGCATTCAAACTAGCAAATGAAGCCCGGGATTTATTCTTCCTGCAAGGAAGTTTAACGGTAGTTCAAATTAGGAGCTTTAATTCGAACTACCTAGTCCATGCCGCATGTAGCCGCAGGCAGGTAGTTCAAACTACGGGGCATTTAAAAATGGCGGTGCCCGGGAACATGCAAATGAAGCCCGGGATATTTAAATCCCAGGCTTCATTTGCAAGTTTGAATGCCTACATTAGCCACCCTAGTTCTAACTAGGGTGGCAGTGTAGACATACGCTTACATCCCTAAGTCATCCCAGTGTTACTTTTTGCACTGATTGGTACAACACGGCCACTGAGGGGACAGATAGGGCTAGAGAGCTTCTGGCTTTCCTGTTAATCACCTGTTGACAGTTGTAGAGGCGTAACTCTGCACAAATTAATTACAAGGGATCTGTGATCCTATTGTATCCTTTCCACTCCCTCTATGACATCTATAAGAACATAACTGCAGCCTGATTTCTGGGCTGGTGCTTTGGGGGGGGAGTATGTGGGGGCGGTGAGGGGGAGTTCCTCTCCCACTAAAGGCCACGAAGTCAGACTTGGTTTGAACAGATGATGTGTATTGCTGACCAACTTGAATAATTAAAGGGGTTTGAGTGACTGCAGCAGTACAGCGCAAAGAGGGGGAAGGTTTTTTCCCTCTTGAGTCTCAGAAGACATTGAAGTAACATCCAGCTGCTTGCTCCTGAATGTCACCCAGTCAAGGGAGCTGGTAGAGGCAAGAGGAGGGGTCAGGGCTGCTGTGAGGAGACAGAAGAGTCTTATAAACTCGTCTTACAGAATTTCTAATCTGCAGCACAATGTCTCCATTCTTCCCTGGCTCAGACCCTCTTTTTGTCCAGTTTATCTTCCCCAGTGCTGTGCATTCTTTGCATTGTACGCAGCTGATTTGCCCCTGAAATGCAAAGCCATCAAAGATTAAATTAGGCAAGGCCTCTCCTCCTCCAGTAACAATCCGGGGAGTCACTTCTCCAGGGCTGTAACCCTACCCCCGTGTCCCTTCACATTGCTTGTGGTTCTGGTTGTTTGTGTGTGGGTAGCAGTGCTTTAAGGGGGGGCGGTCTCTCATCTTTGCTCCCTGTAGCCAGGGGAGTTGACAGAATTGCTGGGCCCCTGGGGAATATGTTTGTGTTGAGGGAGGAAGGGAAGCTCCCTGCTCCTTTGGGTGAAAGAGGTTGGGCTGGAGCAGCCAGCCCCTAG